ATGGACGCGTATTGAGTCACCGTCCTGTTCTTTTAATGGATGTCATGGTGTTTACTTGAATGGAGGGTTGCATTGGGTTGGACAAGATGATCTTCATCAAGATGTTATTTATGGTATAAATATGGAAGATGAGAAGTACAAGCACATTCCTTTTCCTAATAATGATGGTTATTTTCCTTGTATTGGAGTATTTAATGGTGCTCTTCATCTAACTCTTTCTATGGAGGGGCACGAGTACACGATGTGGAAGATGAAAGAAGATGGTTCGTGGATTAAAGCATTTAGTGCCAGCATACCAGATGTGAGCAAAAATATTCTTTCTTTCTCACAGTCAACTGTGGAACAGATTAAAATATGTAAAGATGGAAAGATCTTGTGTGTTTGGGCGGGAGCTGAATTAGTGTTGTATGATCCAAAGACGGAGAAGATGGAGAAGTTGATGGATGATACAATTGCGAGAGATTTTTCGGTTCACAACATCGACTCCTTTAATTTTAATGCTTTTCCGGATATTTTGACTGGAAAAATATGTAAATTTTGAGTATAATTTATATTGAAATTGAGATTGAAATTTTGTTTTAAATATGTGTTTTGTTCATAAGGTTAGAGGTAATTTTTTTTTTTAATTTTATTTTTATAGAAGGAAGTGTACTGGTTTAATTTATTTTTATGAAAATTTAATTATGAAACACACATATTTAAGTTATTTATTTATTTATTTATTAAAATTAGATAAATAAACTCAAGGCATATTATTAATAATATATTTATTAGTAAATAAAAAATAGATTAATTTAATTAGTTTAATAATTTAATATAATAAAAATAATAATTAACCAACCATAGTAAGAATATTATAAATATATTACTAAAAAATGAAAATAAATTTAAATTGGTGAAATATCCAAAATATCTATTTTTAAATTGGCCATATTTAAAACTAAATATAATTTAAGATAAAAGAATATTGGGATTAGATTTTTAAAATTTTTAAATAGTTAAAAATATAATTTAAAAATTGTGTTTAAAAAAATAGGAAATAAAACTTTTATATATATAAAAATCTAGTTTTTATTTTCTAATTTTTATTAATTTTTTATATACAAAAATGCAATGGTTATCTAATTTTTATTAAAATTTGTTTATCGTGAAAACAAAATAAATAAATAAATATATTAAATTAAGGAAATAGTTTATGAATTTAGGTGCGAGACCCAATTAAAATGGTGTGAGATTTTTATTCGAAAAAAAGTATAATTTAATTGATTTTATTTTTTAGTTGATGGATGGAAAAGTGGACGAAAAAGTTGATAAATAATACTATTGTGAGAAATTTTTTCGGTTCACAATACTCCAATACCCTTTTCAATATTTTAACAGAAAAATTAGGTAAATTTTGAGGATGAAATTGAAATTTTGTCTTAAATATAAGTTATTTAGTTTTGATCGTACAGTATACTAAATGAATGGTTTAATTTATTTTATTTTTATAAAAATTTGATTACCAAATACAACTCATTATTAAAATCAGTTATGGATGATAGTTTTATTAATAATAAAAAAAAGTTTAATTAATTTAATAATTTGATATATTAAAAATAAAATAATTATAACTATTGGTCTAAAATTAAACAATAATAAAAATATTATAAATATGGTAACAAAAATAAACCTATATGAAATTTTAATATTTTAAAATATTTTATTCTCAAATATATTATATAAAATATTTAATTAGTTAAATGCACCCATCTAAAATTAATTTTAGGAATTGGAATTTCAAAATTTTGAAATACTTAAAATATAATTTAGAAATTATGTTAGAAAAAAGGAAATAAAATTTTCATTAAAATTTAAGTTTTTTTTATTTTTCTTTTTAATTTTATAAAAATAAAAGAAAAGATTCCTAAATTATTATTTTAACTTTTATAAATAAAAAAAAAATCAAATGTAACATCATGGCGCGCGATGTACGGTCAGCCGTGGATGAGGTCGTCGGTTCGAAATCGAAAAGACGCGCTAGAAATCAAAATTCTTTTAATCTGACGCGCGGCAACGAGGAGCTGTGTAACGACCCTAAATTTCCACATACTCAGAGTCGCTACTAACGTCTCATGCTCATCTATAATGCGGAAATATAACTCTTACATGAACATAATTGATAATGAAAATTTTCAAAAAAAAACGTTTAAAATAACTTCTCCTCTGAAAAACACGGCCATGGTCTTACGTGTTTAAATATGAAATACTGAAATTTAGAGAAACAAAAACAAATACAAAATAATTTAAAACAATGAAATGCAAAACAACCTATTCTAACTTAAGACTAGAAATTTAAATATGAGTCTACCCTATGCACGTGCCACAGTCTCTGCTCGCGATGCCGCCGTCCTCCGTACAAGTGCGCCTTGCCTTTACCTGAAAAAA